TTAGGAAAATTGCTTGATTGAGCCATAGACCGACTGGGAAAGTTCAAGATTTTTCTTCGAAAAGAAAGTTGATTGTTTGATATTATAATTATTACTTTGATATCTGACTTTGACCTCAATTTTTTAAGTTGATGAGGACTAATTGAGCTACATTTAGTTAGTACTTGAGAATTTTTAAAATAACATATTAGTATTTGTTAATTAAATTTTTAAAAAATTAGAGAAAAAACTATTTTAAATTAATATTGTTCTACTAAAACACTATTTAAAAAATCAAAAAAAACTTTTTTTTTATTTAATAATATGTTATTAGTTTCTATAAAAAAATTTATTAAAATAATATAATTTTATAACATTTTATTAATATTTTAGAGATTTAATTAAAAATTAATTTTCTCTCTAAATAATTAATTTTGCCGTTTCAAACTTATACGTATCATTGTTACCATCAAATATTAGGTAAAAACTTAGTTAGCCTTTTACCTTATTAAATTTATAAGTTTTAATCTCTCACCTATTAAAATTAAAGAAAATAACTCTCACTTATAATATTTTATTAGTTCTGTTAACTTTATTAGATAATTATTAATTAACTGTTAATTGATAAAAACTTACTTTCAACTAATAGAGTTAATAGTTAGTAAACATAATAGTTCTGTTAACTGACTGTTAACTCTATTAGTTGACTGTTAACTAATTGTTGGCTAACAAAAACTTATTTTCAGCTAATAGAATTATCATTCAACTAACAGAATAAACAATCAGTTAATAGAATTAACGAAATATTATAAAGTGAGAGTTATTTTTTTCAATTTTAATAAGTAATGAGGTTAAAAGTGTCATAATATAAGGTGAGTGGTTAAAATCTATAAATTTAGTATGGTAAAGGGTTAAAAGTAGGTTTTTGCCCAAACATTAAGGCCAACAAAATAAAGAAAAAAAGTAAAGTATATTTTATTATGTGTGAAACATATTTCACTTAATTATTAATAAAAGATAGGTTGTTAGCATTCTCGAAAGTGATAGACACATTGTCATAAAAAAACCCTAAAAAATTATAAAACTTCCAAACCAAAAAGTCATATACTTTTTTTGTTTAAACAACTATAAATTTTTTTAAAATATAAAATAAAAAAAAATCCTTAAATTTTGATCGAGTGAGTGATAAATAATAACATTTCCACTCCCCCTGGCACAGACATGTATCTTGCATATTTGAAAGGATGAAACTTTCATTGAAATCCCATGCCCCCTCACCCCCCCGGTTAAACACGGCAAAAAAGAGAGCAATTAAATAAACAAAATAAATTATTAATAAAAGAATTAGAAAAAATTAAGCTATTTTTATAATTAAAATATAAAAAATAAAAATAATTAAATATACTTAATAAATCAACATATTATTAAAAAATTATTAAATATTTAAATAAATTGACGCGCATTGTTATTTTTACCTTTTGATAATATAAATAAATTTTTTATTTTATAATTCAATTTGAGAAAAGTGATAATATAAAGATATTTTTTTTAAAAAAATTTATATAATTTTTATATATTATTAAATAAGTAAATGTATTTAATATT